AAAGACAAATCAAAATAAATAACTAAGGTTTTCCTGAAGTTGTAATGGCCTACAGAGTATCTACTGTTTTAACTGGCATTTTTCAATGTTGCATCCACACACATATCGTTTAGGAAACACATGGCAGGAAAAAAATGTTTGGTGAAGAATGTGACCTGAAGAAAATGTCAGGTCTTCCATTTCTTGGTAAACTCAGAAACATTTTTATACTTTCATCTTACTACAAAAATATTTTCCATCTGTTATCACTCAGGCTAGCATTTCTCAAACTGTATTATGTACATAATTTCAAGTAAGTTTAATGTTTGCATTTATTAAATATGTGTAATGTGTATGTATGTGTATATGTATACAGGTGCTTATGTGTATGTATATATATATGTATGCCTTATCTGTATATGTGTGTATGTATATCCATGTATGTGTCTTTGCATGTTTATATGTTTGTAAGTATGAATCTGTGTTGTGTGTATGTTTTATTAGTGTATATGTGTGAATATGTAGAGTAGGTGTATATGCTTATGTGTGTGTATATATGGATCATGTGTATGTGTGTGTTTGTGCAGATAAACTAAGAATTCACATAGAGATCACTGTAAGCACTCTCTTTACTTTGGTAATGTTCATTATTTTAGAGATTTCTAGGAGTTTTCAGATGAGCTATGTAAATCTGCCCTCTCGTATAGCCGAGATTGAGAACATATTAATATATCTGATTCAGTAAGGTTCCATTATACTGTTCTTCATATTATCTTTAGAAAATGTGAAAGAAATTTTCCATTGTTTGGAACATATGCTGAGATATGTTCTAGGAGTTCATTTTCTGATATTGCCACCAATATTCTCATCTGCAATTGTTGACAGAAGGTAGAGGAGGAACTTTTTCTTTATTGATGGGAATGATGACAAATAAGAAATACTCAAGGTATGTACAGATGGGGTGAATGGAGACAGGATAAAAATTTATGGGTTCGGGTAGGTGATCTTCCCTTGTTAAGTTACAAAGACAGAAAAAAGGCAGAGAATGAAAGCCGGTTATGTGGACGTTTGCTTTAACCTTCATTTGTTACCACCGAGGGAGTGGTGCTGAACAATGTGTAGACACTGTGAACCTGGCATTGCACTTTGGAGCTAACTAAATCACTCCTACCTTTGCTTTGCTGATCAACCTGTAAAACCTCTGCTAAGAAGGCTGATGTGCATCTCTTGGAATTGCTTCTCAAGAGTGTCACTTGACTGGTGGACCAATCTTGGCTGTGATGAATTCTTCTAAGTATCCTTTGACTAAAAGCTGTTGTAGCTTTAACAAAGTCTATTGCTCTACTTTAATCTATGAACTCTTTTCCTTACCTTGCTTCTGCATCTGCCTCATAAAATCTTTCTAATTGTGCCCCTCACTGGGAGTGCAGTGTACTCAATGGAATCACTGTGTGCTCAAATAGACCCTCTAAAATTGTGATGGGAGGTAGCTTATCTCTTAACAACCTTCTGCCTGGATACAGTTCAGCAGTAAGCTATTTGAATTCCAAAAACGAACTGACATGAGCCTAGAGTGTTTGTTTCCTCCACATATCATTGAGAAGGTAATATCCTATACTTGCAATTATTTCTTCAAGTACTTTTCAAAAATGTATCCAGTGAGAAAAAAAACTGATAACAATGGTAATCGTGTGCAAAATACCAACATGAAGGTAATGTCTACATCAGGATTTCAGTAAACAATTTAAACCACTGTGTAATTTCATGCAGTGGTAGATAATGAAAATATGTTTATAAGGCTGTTTTCTTTGTGTATATCAAAGTTCAAAACAATAGGTCTGACGGTTGAAATGAGAAAACATGTATAATGTGGTATGTTAGTTATCTTTCTGGATGCTGTGACAAAATTTCCAGCAGAATCAATCAAGTGAATGGAGGGTTATTGGGATCAGGGTTTCACATCATCACAGGGAAGGCATGGCAGCTAGGCATGATGTCATCTAATGGTAAATGTGGGGTGCCAGATGTACAAGGTCTTCACAGGCAGGCTTATCAGGAAGCAAAGACTAGAACCGGAAGTAGGACTGGGGCATAACCCTCCAAGGCCTGCCACCAGTGACCCATGTTTAGTCATCAGAGAAATTCAAGTTGAAATCACAGTGAGCTTCCACTCTTTGCTTGAAGGTTAAGGGAAAACAAATAGACAATATGAAACATTAATAATTATGACTATCGACGGAGAGTTTCATGGACATCTGCTGGGAATATGAAATGCAGAAACTACCTTTGGCAGTTTATTGCAAGTCTAAAACACAAGCACAGAACCTATCAATCCTCCCTGTGGTGATTAGGCTTGACTATCAGCTGACACAGTGGAGAATCATCTGGGAAGGACTCTGAATAAGGAATTGGCTAGAGTAGCCTGCACTGTGCCAGTGAAGAATTTTCTTAACTAGGGTAGCTGACATGGGGAAAGACAGCCTGAGTATAGTTCATGGACCAGATCCTGGACTGAATGAATGCACGCAAAGCGCAAGCTCGCATTGCTTTCTGACAAGAGGTGTAATGTGAGTAGCAGCTCCAGTTCCTGAGAGCCTTACTTCCTCATCAGTGATGGACTCTAACCTAAAATGGAGCAAAACAAACTTGCAATTAAGCTGCCACCGCCAGGGTATTTCATCACAAAAACAAGAACCAAAACCAAGATGTAATCCAAGGTAGCAATGCTAAAGGAAGCAGCACATGAAGCCTTGTGTGTGGATGCTTGTAGAAATTAATGCAGGCAGACTAGTAACGAAGCAAAGGTCCAAACTATCATCCTCTGAAAAGAAATTCTAGTCTATTCTAATATAGAACATACCTGTGACTGTTGGCATCCAGGAATGGTTACAGGAGTAAACTGGAAGGGAGCACAAGGAATCTTAGGAGATCATAGAAATGTTTCGCCTTGTCTGTGATAACAGCTGCATGTGTTTCTGTTTGTTGATACTTCCTGAAGTGTTCTATAAGTACTGGGGCACACATATGTCTATTATACTTCAATAGAACATTTCCAAAGGTTGAGACAAATGTTAACTTCAGTTATAAGAAGGCATATACATAGTATATATATCTCTTACAATAGAGTATATACATATGATATATACATTCTATTAAACTGTCACATCTACAGCAAGGTAAATTATATGTGTAAATTATAACAATGGAGCAATACAGTTTTTTTATTTTTTAAATTGTGTATAAGTGTTTTGCTCGTTTTTATGTTTGCATACTGCATGCATGCCTGATTTCCATGGAGGTCAGAAGAGGGTGTTGGATCCCCAGGAACTGGAATTATAGATGGTTCTGAGCCACTTTGTAGGTGCTGGGATCTGAACCTGGGTTCTCAGCAAAAGCAGCCAGTCTTAATATCAGGTCCATCTCTGCAGCAACTAGCTTGATTTTGATGATCGTCTCCCTTTAGATTCAGAGCCAGTTTAACTGAACAATCCAAGCTCAAGAGTATATTTAACCAAAAGTAGTGTGTCAAGCTGAAGTAACGATTAAGTTCTCCTCTGTTAAGGGAAACTTTTCCTTGAGAGGAGCCTTCCCGCCCGCCTGGTTCCAGATCCGCATCAGTCCCAAATAAACACACAGGAGGCTATATTAATTAGGAAGCTGTTGGCCTTGCTTGTTTCTTCCTGGCTAGCTCTGCTTTAAGCAATTACCCCATAATTGTTAATCTAAGTATGTTTCTTACCGGAGAGGTTTCCAGGCTTCCTACCCCAATGGCGTTACATCTCGACTCTCGTGTTTCTCCTTCCCAGAATCCTCCTCGACTCCTAGTCCCTCCTACCTAGATTCCTATTGGCCAGCAGTAATTTATTGACATATACACAGGACTTCCCCAACACTCCTCCAAGCTACATTAATCATTGCAGTGCTCAAGAAGAGTCTCCATATCATATCACATTGGCATGGAGCCTGCTTGTCTTAGCCTTTCTCTGCACTTGTGACTTCCACTAAAGTTGGAGTTAAATCATGTATATTAAATCAACACATTTTTGAGTCATATATATATATCTGGATTATACTCTGCTAAGCCAAACTGCTCAGAAAAGAAATGTAGATTGTTTTACTCATAGTCTCATAAGTTAGCATTCTGACCATGATGTAATCAAATAAGTTTGCATCAAGATGAAATTTTAGTGTTACCCAACCTTGCTTTCTGTCAATAAAACAGCTCCATAAGTACTACCAGCAACAATTCAACTCTCATTTTTCAATATTTTGTGAAAAATACTTGGTAGTCAAAATGTATGTAAGATGATGAAGAATGGATCAATTTACCCTCAAAGTGCTTAAATAAAGAAATCTGTTGAATTATTTCAAGCCATAAATGAGTGAGCACCTGGTGCTGTCTCCCGGTCAACTCACTCAGGTTAACAGGTGAGAGTTAGTGCGTGATGGCATTGATTTCCCGGGGAGCCCTTAATTCACCTCCCCCTCCCAACTCTGCTTCCATGCCAAATGAGGAAAAGTAGCTATTTCTATGGAGAAAAATGAGCCTATTTGTTTACCTTGCAACTTGTTCAGGTGTGCAAATTCTCAGTACTGACTACACCCTGAAGCCTATGCTGACTTTGTTTTATTGTTATCACACTTTAATGGTTGGGGGGTACGCCTGTGTGTTTGTTTGTGTACCACAGAATGCATGTGGAAGTCAGAGGGCACGCTATGAAAGCTGGGTCTCTCCTCCCACCATGCGGATCACGGGTATCGTGCTGGGTCTCTCCTCCCACCATGCGGATCACGGGTATCGTGCTGGGGCCATCAGGCTGGGTGGCAGGTACCTTTAACCACTGAGCCATCATGCCAGTCTTTCTACGCTGATTTTAGAAAACATTTGTCAACTTTTTCCATAACTTGGGTAAGCGGCTAGAATTGTGTATAATGGTTCTGATTACACAGATACTGAAGTGTATAAAAACTGACAAAAGGCTGCTCAAAGTGTTCTTCTTTCTTTTGCTTTTAGTTTTGTTGTCAGCAGTCAGTTCACTGGATGGAGGCATGGGGGCTCCGCATGAGAGGAACGAGTATGGCGCTGTCTTTGAGAACAACTCAGTTTATTCTGAACTCATTCACTATTGACATGGGAGAATAAAAGCTGCAAAATATAATCAAGCCTCCTCCTTTCCCTTCTAAACAAAGAAAGGTGAGTGGAGATGAGAACCAATAGGAGATGATGAAGAGCCTCTCCTACAAGGCAAAGAATGAAACTGTGACTCGAGCACGCTCATTGCAGTATTATAAAAACCCCAAAATGATTTTTACCTGCATTATGAAACAGCAATAACAAAAGAAATTTTTTTCTTCCACACTCTTGGATATCTGCTGATAGCTAGTACAAGATCTGAAGCCACACACCATAATCTCAAAGTTTCAACCTCTTTAAATAAGCCATAACATTTCTGAGCACGGGTCATCATGTAATACACTGATGTCCTGCTGGTTGCTTTCCAGTGGTGTGATAAAGACCATGATTTGACCAGTATAGGGGATGAAAGACGCATTTGACTTATATGTCCCAGTCACAGTCCATCACTGAGGGACGCCAAGACAGGGACACAAGCATGGAAGGAAGCTGAGTAAAACGCAGAGCAACACTGACTGACTTTCTCTCAAAGCTTGCTCAGCCTACTTTCTTATGCAACCCAGGACCACAGGTGATACTGCCACAATGGGACTGGCCCTCCCACATCTGTCACTAATCAAGAAGATGCCCCCACAAGCTTGCCTATAGGCCAGTCTGACAAAGGTGTTTTCTCAATTGAAATTCCTTATTCCCAGATACCTTCAGCTTGTGTCCAGTTGACAAGAACCAACCAGCATACCGCTACTGAGCATGGCATTGTTTTACATATATGTCACTGAGAAGAAGAAAACAGCATACGGTCTGAAAATAAGAGAAACAGTTCACCTCTCACTAAAGGCACACAACTAAGTTTTGGGGTAAGATATGGGAAAAATAATAGCACAGCTATGTATTACATCCTCACACATCTTTTGACACATCTCATTTTATGTTTCTTACTCGTCTTTCCTATCTGTCCTCTCTCATCAACTACAATCAAAATTCATCAGTGTTTCTGACATTATGTCCATTAACTGTTTCTTTGAAGCTATCCAGGTTCTGCAGAATCCTGTTTCCAGGGCACACAGCTTTCTAAGCACTTTTTAAACAGGGTGATCTCTAGTCTTTAGTAATAAGATTTTTCTTGCTAAGTAGCTAAGGAAACATGACAAAGATTAGAATCATTTTCTGAAGAAGCAGGCATTTAATCTTCATACTTTAAAAAGTTAACAGAAAACATATTAATACAGAATGTCCTTTATTCTTTTTCTCTGATATGAGAAAAGCAACTGTGTATACCTTGATCCTCATGGGCATTTGCTCTGATATGAGAAAAGTAACTGAGTATACCTTGATCCTCATGGGCATTTGCTCTGATATGAGAAAAGCACCTGTGTATACCTTGATCCTCATGGGCATTTGCTCTGATATGAGAAAAGTAACTGTGTATACCTTGATCCTCATGGGTATTTGCTCTGATATGAGAAAAGTAACTGAGTATACCTTGATCCTCATGGGCATTTGCTCTGATATGAGAAAAGTAACTGAGTATACCTTGATCCTCATGGGCATTTGCTCTGATATGAGAAAAGCAACTGAGTATACCTTGATCCTCATGGGCATTTGCTCTGCGAGGGTGTTTTGTAGGGAAGGATAATTAAAATTGTGCTTCCACAATACTGTTTTGTCTGTTTCAAAATATAGCATCTCAGATTAAAGGCAAAGATGTTACAGAATAGGGATTTATTATAGGAATTTAGTATATCCTGAAGGAAAGCAAAAGTTTTGCTACCAGATTGTCAAAAGCCATAATCAAGGAAGATTTTGTGCTTTCTACACTCGGAGTCTCTCCACTGGTCTAAAACGCCTTTGCGTGAAACATCACATTATGATACTTGAAAGGAGGGTTTTGTGCAATGAAAGCTGAAAGTATGGCACTACTGACTCTAGAAATGTCAGCAGTGGAGGCTGAGTGGGTGGCAAGAGGGTCCTTAGTGGAGGCTGATGGTAGAGACTAAATACAGCCCAGAGTTTAGAAACTGATGCTGATTACTTCCATCTGGAAGAAAGCAGAATGCAGTAAACACAAGTACACAAATTTCCCTTACTTCACTTTTCTGGCCAAGGAAAGTTTCAGTAGTAATAATGCATTTATCATCAGCTCTTTTCCTGATAAAAGGAGATTAAAGACTGATACCCTGCCCAAACAGACTTTTCCACAAGCCATAATCACCAATCTAATGCTCCCTACACAGGAGACTTCACTGGCATAGGAAGATGGTTTCATTCACCAAGCATTTCATCCCCTTCCATTACCAATATCTGAGTACATGGGGAAATCTAGTGTCAGTTTCAACATTGAGGAGCTTCCCAGGCTCAATGTGGACTCCCTTCCCATTTGTGTACAGGTCCCCTATGCATAACTCCTTTTCCTTATTCTCTTGGGTTTATTCCTTTCAGGAAAGCTAGCTGATATTTCCCGAGGACAGTTTAGTGATCTGGGAAGAGGCTTACATGTCAAGCAAAGGAGACTTCTTAGCCAAGACTGAACTGGGATTTCTTGGCCACCGGCTTTTTATCTCAGTATCCAATCCCTCAAGCCCTGTCAAGCCTTCAGAGGACTACAACTCATATGCATACAAATCACAACACAAGTCACCTATGAGACAAAACTACTTTCAACCCCAAACCACAGTTCAGTCCCTGCAGCTGCTCCTCCTTCCAAGCACGTGGAGATCTTGCCAGGAGCCACCTCTGTTGACTTTCTTCCGGGCTCTTCATCTAAAAAGAACATACAAATGTAAGGGAAAGGGGAAAGGAGAGTTGGCATTGGTGCCTGACAGTGTGCCTGGTGACGAGTGGTTTCCTATAAAAGCAATCATGAAATTAACATCGGGATTCCCTTTGACATATGGCTCATCAGCCTCCTCTGACTGCATCAGCCAAGTGTTCATTACTACTACAATGAAGACCCAGAAGAGAACAGGAAGCAAGGACCAAAAGGAATTTATTCTTGTACTAGTGTTGTAAAGAATAAATCACACACACACACACACACACACACACACACACACACACACACACACACACGCCTCCTCTATTATAGGGTAAGCCTTTAGGAAAGTATAGTTCCTTATAGTTGATCTATATCTATACCTCACTTAAACAATAAACTTCACTAGATAAAGGAGTAGTTTCCAGGAAACCTGAAGATCTCTCATAGTGCAGTAGTTTACCATCAACTTCCAGTAATTAGCATCTTGTTTTTGACATAAAGGCCACCTCAATATTAGCTACAAGTTCAGGTCTTCTACTATAATCGGGGATGCTTTTCTGGTTACTGTAGAGGTGTCTTTTCAGACATGATTCCAGAGACCCGTTATTCATTCTGAATGAAATCATTAACATCATCTGGGGTTTAGGGAAGGAATTTGTCAAATCTTTCCTAAGTTATGTACACCTTTCATGATAAAGAAAACATATTGAGTAAAAGGTCATCTCATCTCTGTATATACAGAGATTGCAATTTCAAGATATAGTTGGTAGTAGGTTTGTCCACAGAGAATTTTTTAAAAGGAATTTCAGCCGAGTAACATCACTTTAACTTAATTACCTAAAGAATACTCACTGCTATGCAGTCTTTAGGGCCCAGGCAGAAGGTTATGGGGAGTCACCACTGAGGTTGTTACCAGCTCCCTGAGAAGGGCTCTGCTCCCTTAGGAGCAGATGTATCTTCTGAACTGAATTGATTATTTTTTTTCAGATATTCTTTCTCGCTCCCTCTCCCCTCCCCCTCTCTCTGTCTGTGTGTGTGTGTGTGTGTGTGTGTGTGTGTGTGTAAGAAGTTCTTGACATTTCAAAATCACAAGATGGATAAATACTAGGAGATAGCATGAAACCAAAGCAGTAGTGACATCATCGTTAAGAGTCCCATTGTCATTAACTCTCCATTCCTTACAAGCTAAGTTTCTATTTCCTAAACATAATGTATCATGTAAAGGATGTTTTTAACCTATGTTGAATTTGTAATTTCATGATGTATACCCCCCCTTTGTCTTTCCAAGCTCCTTAATCTGTGATATATCATTGCCATTTTGTCTTATGAAAATGTCTTCCCAGATGCCTTGAGGACTCCCCTTCTACAGGTTGTATTTTACACTTATCTACCCCACAGGCAGCCTTGGGCTTGAGTTCCCTACTCTTCTGTCCAGATGCTGACAGCCAATTGTCTTGACAGCTGTTTCCCATCATCCCTAACTTTGCCTCCATAAAGGGGACGTCAAAAGCCAGTGAGGGGATGCTCTCTGAACTTCTAAATACAGCGTGCTTTAACTAGACAGTCATGGAAATGCTTTAATGTTTTCCCCCCTCAGGTCTAACAATAGGTGCTAGGTATGTAGGTAGGTAGACGATAGATAGATAGATCTAGTTAATAGGTAGGTAATTGATATATTGGTTTACGGATATATGGGGGATATTGTAGCCTAGGATGTAGTGTCTATGTGTGTGTCTGAGAGAGACAGAGAGAGAGACACAGAGAGAGAGCGATGACTCTTGTTAAATCATGACTGAATGACTGAGTATGTTCTCTTAGCCAAAACCAATTCCAAGTAAACTTGCCCAACTAAATACACACTTATGCCTTGCTCTGGAGTATAGGGACTCAGTTTCCCCTCCATTTATGTTTTGTTTCGAAGCCATACTCCACCTCTCACTGAAGCTCCTGCAAGAGTGCTTTTCTACGGCAAAATATTTGCTATCCTATTCCTGTCAGCTGCTGTCTCCAGAGGACCACCCCTTGCTCTTACAATCAGACAAGCTCTGCTTTCACTCCCCCAGCTGAAGCCTACAATTCTTGAGAGGCCAGGCTCATCTCCAGCTTTTGATTCCATGCCACCCAATAAAAACTTAATCCCTTGCAATCTGCTTCCCACCTCCACAACTGCTGAAACTGTGTTTTCAAATGTCACCGAATGCCACAGCTGGTCCAAATATAAACCTCTGTCCTCCCTCATCGTCATTAATGCCAGCGTCCCCCTCTCTGGTTCCAAGGAGGCTGTGACCTCACTGTGCTCCCCAGCTTTCCTTCTGCCTCTCCGTCTCTGAATGTGTGTGTTCTCAAAGCTAACTGCCACCATCCCCTCTCCCCACAGCTCTCCTCCGATAATTTCATCATCTGTGGTGATTGCAGCCTATCCCTTTGAACAGTTCAGGGAACAGTTAGCTAACCATTTTCTTGTAGCCTTACCTAGACCTCTCCAAACCCAGACATATATATATATATATATGTGTGTGTGTGTGTGTGTATATATATATATATATATGTATATAGCCAGCCCATATAGAAATCTCTAACAAATTCAGTGTCATAGATTTCACCCACATGTCTCTTGATGCCCTCTTGGGGCTCTAAAACAGATGTCTCTTTTACTTCTCTGTTACTGAAGTTCAGTGTCTTTAACCATGCAGGTCAGAGTCCCACAGCTATCAGGTACTATGTTTTTTGTATCTAATGTGTGTCAGGAAGTCTTCACATGCCTTCTACTATATATTCACACATTTGTACACATATATACACCCAGGAGCCCTCTAACATTACATTTAATCTATCCTTTCAGTGTGCAATACGGTGACACCACAGGCTTGCTTGCCCCTTTTAAAGAGACCATCACTGCCATAAGTTTCTCACAAGTGTCTTACCTCACCTCATTTGTATGAATTAGCATTCTCTTCCTGATGTCTCCTTTAGGTTTCAAGCAGACGGGACAAATTCCCTGAACTAGGTTTAATCCTTTATGATGGCTGTCCTTAACTGTAAACCTGACTGGATTCAGAACCAAGGAAACATGTCACTGTTTGTCTAATAAAGGTGTTTGCAGAAAGGAGTTACCTAAGAAAGAAAGACCCCCATAACTGTGGACAGTACCATCGTCAGACTTGGGGCCCTTTCTGTACAAAAGTAAGGAAGCAAGGATAGCAACTAGCATCTCTCTCTCTCTTGCTGATGATGGCTGAAAGCTCACCACCTGCCTCACATACTGCAATTATGCCCTCCTCCCCGTGATGAACTGGATCTCCTCAAGCTGGACCCCAATCCAACCCTTCCTTCCTTAGGCACTTTCTTATCAAGCCACAGCAACAAGGAAAGTATGAACAATTAAAGCCACTATTTATTTCATTACAATAATTATTTCTCAAAATTAAAATGTAAACTAATGGAGGCGTTGCTTTCTTCATAAAACTCAGTATCAATCACATAGCATTGAGTGGCACCTCAAAGGAAGCAGAAATCAAGGACCTCTTTGTTCTCTGGAAAACGCTGGGCAGCCTTTGGGAATGCAGGAGCAACTTCTTTGCCTTGGTTTTCATTATTAATGTAGAAGTATAGAGGTCAAATATACTATCTTTGAACTGTTGAACATTCAATATTCCAGGATGACTAAACCACCAGTGTTGGGTAAGAAGATGGGCAGTGGAGAGACTTCCAAATGACTTCACCAGAGGTTAAAATGACAGAATAGTGTATATCTTAATATCTCTTAGATATTCATCATTTTACTAAAATTGAGTGAGTTTCTCAATTTTACCAAAGTCAGAACATTCTGATTCATCCGAGACAAAAGTATACTCCTGCCTTAAGCTTTGAGGGCACCTGATTCTCTTAGTCAAGTCTCCAGTGACTGAACTAAAGAGCTATCATTGACTTCCCCGCCTCTGAAATTTCTCTTAAGTCACAGTACACTTTTACGTGTTTTTCTGTTGCTTGCCATTATTTCTATGTCTCAACAGTATATCAATGATAAGAACATACAAGTCATTTTTTATTCCGCATTCATCTGTACTTTTTCCAACCAACAGAGTACGTACGATAAATATTACTGTTTAATTTGCTTTTATCAGGCGATGGGACTTTGCACAAACTCACAGGCTTCACTATTAAGCACTGTGTTCTTCATTTTTCATCATTGTAACAAAATAACTGAGAAATGTGCTTAAAGTGTAAAAGGATTTATTCTGACTCTTGGCATCAGAGGTGTTTCTATGTGGGCTGATGGCTACAATGTTACAGTATGACAAAAGGAGAGAAGAGGAGCAAAACTGTTTATCTTGTGGTGGCCAGGAGCAGAGCTAAGACAGGTGGGCTTAGGTGTCAGGATGCGTCCTAAGGAGGCAAAGCTCCAGTGATGGACTTCCTCCAACCAGCACCAAACTCAACTACGGACTTGTGAGTGAATAAATCCATTGATAAAGACAGTAACGTCATGACCATATCACTTCTCAGGAACAAGCCGTTAGCACACAACCCTATGTGAAAGACACTTGCTACCAAACAACAAAAGTCACCATATCCATACTCTCATTTACTTGTAGTTACTTATCAATTTCTAATATCTGTACCAGGTAAACTTGGAAATTATGACAAGTCTGCTGAAAGAGACAAGCTAATGAGTAATTAGCAACCACTATGTTAGATCATATAATAAGGAAGGCAGATGTTCACATTCAAAACTAAACAGGCAGAATGAAACAGCCTTATGAAAAACAGGGAATAAAATTCCAAGTGAAGAAATTAATACAGAGTTCAGAAGTTATGTGGGTTTGTGTAGAAAAATGTTTTAAAATCTAGGAATACAAAAATGTCTGATAACATTAGACCTTAATCCTAGGTCTTTGGGAGGGTAACGCAGAAACATTGAATGTTCAGACTCCCTTGAGCTACAAAGGGAGATCAAAGCTAACTTAAGCAATTTAGTGAGAACTTGTCTCCAAAAAAAATGCTTAAAGAACTAAATGGGAGAGTGCTGGCCTAGCACGTGTGACAATCTGTGTTTAGTCCCCAGCATCTGCCCCCAGTCACAACATCAAAACTCAAGGAAATCTAGGTGAATATAGACAACATAAAAGGCCAATATTATTTTACCTGCTAGAATGCATACTCAAATCTTAAGTGAAAAACATTGAACCCAAATACCATCATGGTCAATCTTT